ACCTTCCCGGTTTAGATAGTACCTGGGAGAGTCATCTAAGTGTTGCAACATTCTGATTTTTTGTGCAAGTTTTTAAATGTGTTTTTTCATATTCTTTTACCTGTTGGTTCTTTCACATTCTAACAATCATTGAATATACACTATTTTTACACTGATGCAACAGCTCAATCTTTCAGGCACTTTTTCCTCCAGAAAAATATTTCATTTCCTTTTTTTTTTTTCTTCCACTTTAACAGGGTTATTCACTAAAGTGAGAATTCTACGCAAATTTAAAGTGAATTTTTAAAGTTTAAAGCCAGAGTAGCGGGGATTTTAGCAAAGCTGCCTTTTCCAGTTCAGCAATTTTTTAAATTAACTTTGAAAATAACCCTGTAAATCTGATTGCCTTCTTAAATGGAAATTTCTGTGAAAATTAGAGGAATTTATTAAGAGAAGTCCATCACTATTTAGAAGACCTTTATAACACTACATAACACTGGCCAAAATTGGCGTTCAAATTAGTTTTTTGCATTTTTCACACACAAACAAATATTAACGCTAACTTTGGCCAGTGTTTGTGACTAAGTGGCTACTAAAAAAGACTGGACACACCCCATTTCCAACACCTTAGGTTGTCTACGTTTGCAAATGGTATGCCATCATGGAGGTAATTCTCATTCCTGGGCTACCATATGGTCTCAAAGGCAACGTAACCAGTCTGGCGAATTTAAATGTGAAAAAACTGAAAAATGTAACATGCTATATTTGACCCTGTAACTTCGCAAAACACCATAAAACCTGCACATAGAGGGGCACTGTTTTACACGAGGGACATCATTGAATACAAATATATGTATTTTATTCCAGTAAAAGCAAACAGTATTATGACACTCAGTTAAAATGTCATGCAGGACTAAAAAAATAACATTTCTTAATTTCTCATTTTTTTTTATATTTTAATCATATTAAATTATGTTTCATAGCTAAATATTTGATGTTAAATGAAAGCCCTATTTTCCCTGAATAAAATGATATATAATAAGTGTGGGGGCACTTAATATGAAAGAGGTGAATTATGGTTGAACAGACATATAGAGCAAATTCAAGTTTTGTTTACGTTTTATTTTGATCAAAACGTGTACATTTGGCTCAGAGGTTATGGGGTTAAAGCCAGCTGTCCCTCCTTGCACACATTCTCTGGATCTTGACTCTACTGCACCTTTTTTTTTTTTCAAATCTTGAGAAGGTCAAGTCTGAAGATGTCTTGTACGGCCACTTCTTTCATGTTTTCTTGCCCAGTGGGATCTGTGATATCTATGAAATTCTGCTGTTCTAATGGGACTCTGTTTTTCATTGAAACACGACCGTTGCTCATTTTGTATATTGTTTTCCTTTATATTGTTCTTATTTATCTTTTTGCAGCTTTTTCTAGTTTCTGCATACACCCAATCTACAGTGCAATGAGTCTCACGGTACATTTCCCTTAATGTTACTTGTCGATCGCTTAAGGGAACTTCTAGTATTGCTTTGTTAGATTTACATTTCTGATTGCCTTTATAACTATGAGAGGATTAATCTTGTGGACATGATTGCCGTATGCTATTCTAAAACATTGTGAATAGTTTCTTTACTTGTTTCATGTTTTAGTCATGTTTAACCGTATAATGTATGATGTGCAATACATACAAAAATATAAACAAAATGAATATTAAATCTCTACATCGTGAACATTTAGAGCGGATCCTAGATTCTCACCTATGTTAAAATACCTTGACACCTAATATAAAGCGCAAACACAAAGGTTCTAAAAAAACATGACAATGCTTGACACACAAAAACTGCTATATAGATTCCTATGCTGCCACCAGGCACGTGACTTACATTATTATATTCATTTAGCAACCAACAATCTATATTCCTTTCCTAGATTTGTAAATCTACTCCAGCTTGCCTTAACTCCCTTAAACTGTAGGATTATTTCATTAAAAATTTGTCAGTCTTTAATTGAAAAATTAACAGCACTTCAGAATTTGTTTATACAAGTAATGTATACTAGACTTGCGCACGGCGAGAAAATTTGGCCCAACCATTTTTTCTGAAGACAGAACATTTTTCAGAATGTCTGAATTGTGGCCAAATAACAGTTTGGATCAGCATAATATTGATACTGAAAACACTGTTCAGGAACCAGATCAGATTAACTAAAAGGGTGAAAAATGGGCCAGTCAGTGTAGTTTTGCAGTACAGTTTATTGTCATTTGATTCACAGATCAAGTAATAAAAAGTAACCAATAGAGGGAGAGTAAACAAAAAAAAAAAAAGCTATATTCATATATTATACATTTAAAAAAAAAATATTATATATCAATATATATTTGTTTACTGTACCTCCCTTTTCCCTCTATTATCACTTCTCACTTGATCTGTGAATAAAATCAGCATTCACTGACTGTCCCCTAGCCATCGGTCATTTTTCACATAAATCATCTCTTGTTTCTTTTTTATTGCCAGAGGTGTATTTCAGAATCACAACTTGAAATGAACATGTTTGGCCATTGCGCACTTTGGTTTGTTTGAATTTGGGCAGATCAGGGATCCATCGAATTCCTGAACTCAGAGCTACAAAGTACCCGAATAACAGACAAATTGCAGTTTAGATTGAAATTAATCTTACAGTCTAATGTACATTATTTCTTAAATACTTTAATAAACTGATTTGTAAAATGCACAATAACGCATATATCTAAGCAACTGTTGTTAAATGAATTAATTGTATTAATATTACTTTTATATGTTATACGATTAAGTCAAATCCCATGTTTCTTATGCATACTCATCTCTTGTCTAACACCTAGGTAAAATTATAATACAACATTTTTTGAAGCCCATGTATTTTTAGGAAAGGGCTATTTTTTCTCTCATAATTTCAATGTGAGATATGTATGTTAGTTGTAAGGTTTCTAAACACCGAAATGTCAAAAGTATACTTGGTACGTAGCAATTATGTTAGCACCCATTCTACATTCAGCATCCTAAAAATATCAGTATTTATGAAAATGTCTACACATTGGTGAAGAGCCTACATACAGTAAGTAAAATTATATGATAGACCTGTACTATACAGGGCTGTATAACCAGCATTAAAACCTAAAGTGTGTTTTGTGTGGCCAATGTGCTCACTTCCTCTTTCCATGCTACTATAATAAAGCATTATAGTTTGATCTACAAAGCCTTCTGTTAAGCATGGGATGAGAGGAGCATTTTTACATTTCATCTACACAATGGAACCCTGAATATACTTTGAAAGTAAACAGCTGCAAAGCGTATCAAAATCAAAATTATCAAAATAATGTATGTATTTGGGCATAATTGAAGTACAACATATATTAGTACAGTTACAACAAGAACTGGATTTATATATAGAATCCCAAGACTTAGTTTTTGTTTGTTTTTTTATTTTACTAACTTTATTTATTTACATTTTCAACAGCTGAAAAGGTCAACGATGATTTCTACTCCAAAAGGCGACATCTTGCAGAACTTGCAGCAAAGGGAAGCCTCCCCCTACATCCAATTCGTATGGAACAAGAGAGATCATACAGCCCTGAGGGTGGTACCTTAAAATTAAATGGGCAGAAATCCAAAGTCAACAAATTTCACTCACATACCTTGTCCTCAACATACAATCCTGACTACAAAACCTGGGATCACACAGAGCATTCCCTGCGGCGGCAGGCCTATGCAACTAAGAAGCATTGCCCAGTGGAATCGGTAAATGAACAGATGTCATCTCAGAATCAACATTACATGCCACCACAGCCATACTTTGTAACAAACAGCAAAACAGAGGTAACTGTCTGAAATAAATGAATTTATCTCTACTAGGATGAAAACTGAGGAAGGCAATGTCCTGGGATTCGATACAGTTCCTGTATTCAGAAGATCAAAAAAGTGTGGTTAGGGATTACAGCTCCAGCAATACAGTAGTTGAATGGAATTAGGGACTCCATTTTTACTTCACAATGAAGATAAGATGAAAACACTTTTGCTTACTCTTTTTTTTAACTAGAAATTCACATGTATGGCAAAGAAGTAGCACAATCAACAGAGTCTTCATCTCTGCAAAAATCTTTTGGATGTTTGTTCTTAATTGTGAAAGAGGACAAGCAGTGAAAAGACGTTATATGGGCCAATATTTTTGTATTAAAAAGAGAAAAAAAATGAACAAAAAAATGTTGAATAAACCCTGAAGATAAATGCAGTTTCCAGAACTAAGTTCATTAATATCATTTTGCACATCTGTGAAAACCCATTGGACAACAGGCCTATTTATTCTTAAGAGACATAAAAAAAGAAAAAGAAAAAAAAAGCAAGTATCTTAAAGAACCTTAAAAGACTGTTACATTTAAAAAAGGGAACTGGGGCTTTCTTATTGGTGGAAAGCCCCATGCTATTTGAATATTTGAAGAAAAAAAACACTTTTTGTAAAACAAAAATAAATAAAAACAGAGACAAAGAAACAGAAAAGGAAACTTTCCATAGAAAGAAAAGAAAAACTAAGGATTTTTCATTTGAGGAAAAAGTTTGGAAGATAGAAAATCCATATGTTCTTCCTTTCCTGGCGTTCCACAATTTAGACGGACAGAGAGATTCCTCTGTACTGTCTGCGATAACTTTTTATTCAGTCAATGTTTTGCCTATTTCTACTTGCTTTCGACTGAAAACATACTATGTGGGCGGTGCCTTTAATGTATTTCTATTGTTAAATGAAAAGTCTTGTTTTTCAAAGTGAACCTTTGATCTTTTAGCTTATTTCCTTACATTTTGCTGAGTATTAGTCTTTCTTTTCAACACAGCTCAAGTTGTTTAATGAATTTTAGTCTTGTTTAACATCTCTACTTAATATAAATGCAATGTCTGGTCAATCTAATGTTATTTTATTTTTTGTTTATTTTATTTTATTTTATTTTTTTGTTTGTTTTGTTTTTTTCTATAGGTCAAATTTATTTACCTAAATGTCTCTTAAAGTTGTATTGTTATTAGTATTTTTATTATTACTTTAATTTTATAATTTGACCAGAAATTATATTTTAATTTTATCACACTCGTAAAACCTCATTATGGGAGTGTTTTGCATTGAACTTGCATGAGGGATATCAAATTTGACCACGCTTTTTTTTAATAATACACAACTTTCTAAAGGCATTAATTGAATTGAGTTAAAAACTGGATAGAAAAATCACAAAATTGTATATTTCTAGGACCAAAGTACTAGTTTATGGATTAAAATAAGAAAATCACAAATTGAGCCTACAGTAGCAGCATATACCAGCTTTCTTTTTGCTAACTCACTATTTTGAATATATATGTCATACACAGCAATTGTCACCCGTCCCTCTCTGTGGTGCATATCTTATCACAGATAGGTAACGTTTTTGGTGTCTTCTTAAAAAGAACAGATGGTATGTGTCTCCTGCTCATGTGGCAAAGGGAAACAGCAAGGGATTTTGACCTAGCTTCCACAGTATACTAGTGAGTGTAAAAATTAGGTCAATGTTATTGGATACTGATTTATTTCACTAGACTACGAGGGTAAAATTCAGTGGCAGAGACAGGACATTTTGTGATCCTGCCCTTTCAAAAATGTCCATTGTCCACAGTAGTTTCTCTACACCTGTGAATATTCTTAAGGGTTGTGTATTTATTTACTCTCAAAGTTATATATCTGCTAAAATTGCATCAATAATTGCCACTGTTACACATTAGAAAGGCAGTGATGGTGATGATTTTCAGTAGCACCACTCCAGCATGTTGACTGCCTTGGATAAATCCCCCATCTTATTCAATTTATGACATCTGTTATATAAAAAAAGTTTTTAAAAAACCCCTTCAGTTTAACATAAGAATAGGGAGTAAATATATATAAACATTTTTTTGGAGGAAAGGGCAAAGAGAGTGTGTCTGCTAACTGACTAACAAAGTCTAAAATGCAACATTTGTGTGAAATTTACATTCGTAATGATGTTTACAGTAAATGTTTAAGCAAAAAGATTAAAAAAAATATATAGATTCCAATCATGTGGGACAGTTTAATAAATAAAAACAAAACAAAAAAAAACTAACTGCCATGCTTGTGGGGATATTTCAATACATTGTTGAATTTTACACTGTCATTTTTCTTCTAAATGTTTTGTTCATTACATTTTGAAATGTAATTTCTAAATTTTCCATCAGACATGTTTGATACTGTCAATGAGTTAGGAGCTAATATCCAATACACTTTACTAAACCTGCAGTAGACTAGGAATGCTGGATTGAGCCAGCTCTGATGTGATTACCTAAGAGGATGTAGTGCTAAGGTTTGTGTCATATAATTCTCCATTAGCCATTGTCTACAAATCACCGAGGTGAACATTAAAATGGTTATAAGCATTTGGTGTGTTTTTAAACTACTCACAATGTATTCAGTCACTGCAAACAATTATCTTTGTAGTTATCCACTGAATCATACTATTTTACAAAATTCCTTATCTAAGTCTGTAATTTTGCACTTTGCATATTTTTTAATTTAATTTCATGTTTACTTTACAATTCAAGATTATTTTTTCATGCATTTAAAATGATGGTTTTTAATCTACTTATAAAATAGAAAAAGAAACATGTTTTTTGAAGGAATTAGCTCTCAAGGCTCTGTGTAACGTGTTAACAGTTAGGTTGCTGCGGAAGTGAGCAATACCGTATTCTTGGTTACATTTTCAAAGAGCTAAATGAGGTTATTGAATCTATAAAACATTTCAGACTGAAAACATTTAACTTTATAAACATCATCATGCATATTTCAATTTTGAAATGTAATTTTTTGATTGAAGAGAAAGTTGAAGAGTTGAAGGTTCCTGGATGACTCAGTAAACTAACAAACATAAATTTACTTTTATTCTAGTCTACAAATCTAATATGTCAATAACTGCCAATAAAAAGTGATTTATTTAAAATAATTGTTTTTTTTTTTTTTTTGCCCTTAATGGCCAAAAGTCCATACAAAAGAAATAATCCGATGTTATCCAAAGGACTATTTACAATTATAACTTGCAGGATAACTCTATAATGTTCTGCTGGAAAATGTCTCTAGACTTAAGTGTGGTGTTAGTGTAATGACAAGACAATAGTATGCAGATATAGCTGTATAGTCCCTTTCCACTAAAGAAAAACACATAACAGGAATCTTAGTACGGCTTTATGGTCCTTGGCTATTGTCTCTTTTTCTTTCTCCAATATATATATGCAAAATGGCAATAAATAAAAAACGTACAGGATTCCTGGAATCAAAAAGAATCCAGAAAAACTGACCTCTTCTACTTAAATGGACACTACGGGCACACAGACTACTTCATCTCATTGAAGTGGTTTGGGTGCAGTGTCCTTGTTCCCTTAACCCTGCAATATAACATATTGCAGTTTTAAAGAAACTGCAATGTTTACATTGCAGTGTTAAGACTGCCTCTAGTAGCCATCTACCAGACGAGGCAATACCTGCTATTTCATGAAGTTTGACTATGTTAAAAGATACTGGATGTTCTCACGCCTTGCATGAGAACGTCCAGCGTCTTCTAAATCCCCATAGAAAGTCACTGTAGCAATGCTTTCCTATGGGGATGGCCTAACGCGTGTGCGTCATGCGCATTAGGTTCTCCCCATTGGCTGACGTTGGTGGAGGATGAGCTTGACCCATAGCCAATGGACTTCGGAGCTGTAATCAGGTAAGTTAAATTGTTTTCTTTAACCCTTTACATGGCAGGGGGAATGCAAGTGAGGGTCTGATAGTGTTAAGAATAAAGCTTTGTTTCTTAACACCGTAGTTTTCCTTTAGTGTGCAGTGATTGGGATGACCAAAAACAGTTGACAAAATTAAATGTCACCACATAGTAATTAGATGATGTTCTGTGATTATCCCCTCTTTTTACTGTGTGAGGTTTAAGGTAATAAGATTATGTAAAGGTTCAGCAAATAACCCCTATGCTTTGACTCACTCCCTGTCCTTTTCGATGAAAGGTAATGTATGTAAAATGGGCTTGGGGGGTGGTCCCCAAAGTCTACTGGTTACATATTTAAGGACCATGTATTATACCGTATAAGGTGGTACCTTAGTCCCATGGCCCAATTATTGTGCTCATTACATGGTAGATGATTGGGGATGCACATTCCTTTTTCCTAAGTGCCTCCTATTATAATCACTTTTGCCAAAAGTCCCTGGGCCATCTTTACTATATCCCTACTTACCAGAGGAGGTCAGCATGATGACCAATTCTTTATAAATAATAAGTCAGGGGATCCCAAAGCCCACATTTAAGTGCCAAACTCCCCTTAAGTATTATTATGCCAAGGAGGATTTTAGGCCTCCTTGCATAAAAGGGCTCCACTAGTACAGAAACTGAATGTCCCTATATACGTGTTAGTATAACGGAGGGTGTTTTAAATAAAGTTGTCTTATAGAAAAAAAACATTTTTCACTTGTCATTTTTGTTGTAGTCAAACAATGCCTATGTAATTGTCATCTTATGTCCATGTAAAAAACCCCTTAGTGCAAAGTAAAAAAATAAACAACCATATAAAAAACACCATCTTTATCATTCAATGACTGTATCAATAAGGACACCTTTGTTTTAACATTCAATCCCAACTCCCTGAAAAATATTTTACCTGTTTTCCTTAAACACCACTTGAGACTGATTGACAGCTTCTTGACAGTAGGTATTAAGGAGCAATAAGTGACAGCAAAATGGAATCAAGATAGACAGTTTAAGCCAATATATTTTCAGTTGGATTGCCAACCCCCATGCTATGCTATTTATGGACAAACTAATATGGACCTATTCAAGCAGCAGCCTTGAAGTGATCTCATCTATCTTTTTCGGCAAACTTGCTGTTAAAATTCACAAGACTAGACTGCATAGAACCTACATTCAAAAATATATGCATAGGACACATATACATTTGCTGCAGTTTTTAATCCAAGTACTATTGCCATAATATTGATAACAGTATTGACCACAGTTTTGTTTTTTTAACAAGAAAAAAAGTTTTGTTTTTTTTCCAATACACTCTTGGTCAAACATTTGCCAGATACAACATACAGAATGTAAGTAATCTGTAACAGGACCGATCCGAACTTGCACTAAGTCAGAACAATCATGCTTCTTTTTTAAAGAGGCATTCTAGCACCATAACCACTAATGTGTGCTATAGTTGTTATGGTTTCCCTGACACCACGTCACACTAAGGAGTACACAAGAGTTAACAATTATATAATACAAAAAATTGCAGGGTAGCTGTGACATAGTTACATAGTTACACAGGCTGAAAAGAGACACGTGTCTATCAAGTTCAACCCTTCTCACATCTGTTTTTGCTGTTGATCCAAAAGAAGGCAAAAATCCAGTTTTAAGCACGTCCATCTTTGCAACAAACTGGGAAAAAAAAACCTTCCTGACCCCAGAATGGCAGTCAGATCTATCCTTTGATCAAGAAGCTATTAACCCACAAATTAAAAATTATATCCCTATGGCAGAATTTAATATTTTCTATATTCTTATATTTTACTTTTAAAGTTTTATTCCATATTCAATATTTTGTTTTTATGTTAATCTGGTTAACCTACCTTACTACCACCAATATTGTTTTCTATTGCATTGCAATATGTTTAATACATCCTGCTGATAATCAACTCTTAATTCTTCAACCTCACTTCTGGTCCTAACCTGACTGACTAATTCATTTCTCAGATGCATCTCAATTGAGTTCCTTTGCCTACTGTAGGGGGACTCTCAGTTGGATTGCTAAAGAGTTGAAGTTCTGGATTTGGCCCAGGAAAACCCCAGGTCACTTCAAGTAAATGCTGTTTTTTTTTTGTGTGTGGACGGGCATGGCTTTAGTTTTACTGGGCAGTGACACAATAGAATTACCCCCAATTTCATGAATCTGCCCTGATTAACAGTCAGTCACACAACGGGCAGCTTCACATTCTTGCCTAGTCCTCCATAATGACTGACAGGAAAGAGGTGCTTTATGAGATGTGCTGAAGGGCAGATAAAGAGATGATGGAGGTTAGCTAAAGTATGGACTATATCCAGGCTACTATCTCTCTCATTGCATCCTCATCCACAACTTCATAGCATTGCACAGATCACTGTATTTGCATGCAAAAGTCTAGATGTCATCATGTCGTATTGTTCTGTGGTTGAATAACTGCACAATGTACCAATGAGTTGTGTTCAAGGCTGCCATGTATGGTACAGCTACTTGTGACTACATCCAGAATTGGACCGTGGGGACTGGGCACACCAGTGGGGAAATTAGATAGCTGAATGGAAGCCAGTAGTAGGGAGAATCTATCATCATATGTTGGCCTTAACATTGTACACATAGAGCTACTGCAGACTCACACTGACAGTGCACACACAGAAACAACACACTCACAAAAACACTTACATGTCCTCACACTGACAATTTGCACACAAAAAGAGACACATAGGTACCAATGGTGTACACCAAAACAAATTATGTGCATTCACAATGACAAGGGATGAAGAAAAACTGAATGGATCAACTTGTGTGTACTCATGAACAGGTCCCAGAAGGGGAGAGGAAGTAGGAAAGCTTTTGGGCAAATTTAAAGTATAGCTTTAGCTCAAATATCTGCTCCATTATGTGTGAGTATATATGGTTGGTGGTCACTCACTAACATGACACCATTTAAAAGATATATATACTCAACCAGAATTCACTCGATTACACATACTTTTTTTAATCTTTTTGAATTACCTTAAAGGGACACTCCAGGCACCCAGACCACTCCAATGGGCAGATGTGGTCTGGGTGCCTGGAGTGTCCCTTTAAGGTAATTCAAAAAGATTAAAAAAAGTATGTGTAATCGAGTGAATTCTGGTTGAGTATATATATCTTTTAAATGGTGTCATGTTAGTGAGTGACCACCAACCATATATACTCACACATAATGGAGCAGATATTTGAGCTAAAGCTATACTTTAAATTTGCCCAAAAGCTTTCCTACTTCCTCTCCCCTTCTGGGACCTGTTCATGAGTACACACAAGTTGATCCATTCAGTTTTTCTTCATCCCTTGTCAACTCCCATCACCCTTAATCCTGCAAGTGTAATTATTGCAGTTTTTATATACTGCAATAATTACCTTGCAGGGTTAAGTCCTCCTCTAGTGGCTGTCTATCAGACAGCCACTAGAGGGACTCTAGTGTTCTTAAAACACAAAAAGTGTTTTAAACTACGCTGGACGTCCTCACACTATGCATGAGGATCGCCAGTGTTGCCGAAATTCCCACAGGAAAGCATTGAATAATGCTTTACTATGGGGGGGGGTCTAATGCGTGCGTGTGGCCTTTGCCGCACGCTTGGCCATTGACGCGCATGCGCATTAGGTCTTCCGAGCTAACTGACGTTGGCGGGGGAAGAGCATGGGTGGGGCCTGACCCAGCGCCGAGGGACCACGGCACTGGATTAAGGTAAGTCACTGAAGGGGTTTTAACCCCTTCAGCAACATGCTGTGGGGTGTGAAAGGGAGGGAGGGACCACAAAACAGATTTGTTTTCCTGACACTGGAGAGTCCCTTTAAAGTAACAAGCACCTGAGTTCACTTTAAATTCTCAAAAAAATACACCTCTCACAAACCCTAAAATCGTCTGAACCAATTTAAAATGTATTAACACTGTATAAGGACAGCTTTACATGTACTTTATGATAATACAAATAATTAATATGTTTATATTACTGTTTTGTGTACTTACTGTTTCTTGCTTGGCAACATTATGTACATATGCAATAGAGACAATATAATTTTATCAATAAATTATCAGCTTATCAAAAACTCAATTACTTGTCAAGTTAACCTATCTGATAATAAAAATTGAAAATACTATTTAAAACTATACTAAAACACGAGTATGATTTATGAGGGTTGATTAATGTCCCATAGTTTTAACCTAAAATATCTACATTGTATTGATGGAATTTGTGATTGCACAGTCTAAATTATAAACAAAAAATGCACATACGGTATAATACTTATATTTTTATGAGTTAGAATTTTCAACTTGTAGATCATTGTCATGGATTGGATTTTTATGTTTCCCAATTTCTCTATGGTATGCTGCTTTCTTATGCGTGTTTAAATTCATTATTTTCACACCAATTCTCTGTAAACATGAACATATTCTATGTGAAAATATTTTAGCAAAAATTATGTTTTATAAGTAGACTTGTATTCACTCTTAATAATTAAGGTCAATACATCAACAATATTTCCTACAGTAAACATGTTTTTTTTAATATATTAATTATTATTTTTTTATGTTCATTTGTTAACATATGTGCTCATTCTTTATGAATTTCTTACCTGGCAATAAAATGGATTACATGTCAGACTAATGCTTTCATTTCTGATTGATGTATATTCAAATAACTTTCACATGACCATAACAATTAAACATAACTAAAGTTAGTCACACTTTCTGATTTTAAAATATACAATGCATATATTAACACTTGGTTCTAAAGAAGAAGAATGCGAAGTCACAAAATAACCAGACAAAAAAACATCTCAAACACACAGGCTGAAAAAATTTAGGAAATTTACCATGGAGAATAATGAGATATATGAGCTTGTAATACATTAACCAACGTGGAATCTCAGGCAGATCCTACAACGGTAGACAGGGCTTAGAAATAAAAAATGAATGTGGGACCCATACAGCATTTACTTTTTTATTAAATCATTGATAATATATATCCTTGAATAATGCTACACTTTGAGATTCGTTTTGGACCGAACTACAATTTGTCTTAATTTGTGCCGATCAGGTAATCAGATAAAATTCCAATTTCTTTCTATATTTTTAATAATGATAAGTAGGGTTACCACATCCACCATTCCCTCAGGGACACACATAATTCTGTCATATTTATGAAAATGCATGAAAAGGGTTGCAAAGGATTATACACAGGATTTGGTAGGATTCCTCATCCAATCAACTGATTTTCTACACTTTTTTTCTAAAGTGTGCACACAACAGGGCAACCCATCTCACGTGCTTCCCATTAATAAGTACACATGATATGTGTACACCAAAAAAAAAAAAATACAAATTTTTCATTATTGTAGAAAGAATGACATCATACATATATTAAAAAAATAGATTTAGGGTACAATTTCTGAACAGCCACACACCAAAATCTTTGTGTAACTGCCTCATGCAAACCTAAAGATGCTAGTTTTCATTTATGATTCAGAGTGTCATTTTATTTACAGAGCAAGTGACAACTGACCAGAGGGGAAAAAAGGAAGAGCAGTCAAACAACTATACTTCCAAGCCTGATTCTTCTAGACACTTTGACTTCAGCTATTAAGTGAGACAGACCAGCAGTGAGTAGAGTATGTTGGGAGTGGTAGATAGCCCTGGTCATTGATACTACTGTAACATGCTTTAGCTTTTTGCTGTATCTAGCCGCTTGTACTGCTAGATGCATTAGAGAAAAGTTTGAGTGGGATTTACAGGCATTTAGTGATTTGGCCTAGTGAGAGACTATTTACCAATATACAGGTGTTAAAACACAGTGCCGATATATATATGTATTAAGGCAGTTTTGCCTGTATTTGTGGGAGGGGCTTAAATTAATTCACTCCCCTATATAAGGGACACCCCTTACCTGACTCATATCGCTTGAGGTCAGCATCAGAATGATTTCCACTTCCGGGTCATCCAGACGCCATTTTACCTGATTACTCCATGAGGTTTTCTAAGCTGAGCTGTGTCAGGAATCCAGCCACAGGCTTTTCCGGCCTACCACCTTCTTTCTTCAATCTATCGCTGTGGATGGTGTCCAAGTGACTCACAAACCGTAAGTTGACCTACCCGTTACACCAGGCATCAGTCCCACGGCACCATGCAAGGGTCAGGTCCTCACTTTACTGCTGCATTTTGTCTAAGTCTGTTCTAAAACCATTGCATGTTCATGCATATCATTCGTTTAAACCCCCTACTGGTCTTTGGGTGTACTATAGACTTCTTAGACATTATCGCATTTCATGTACAAACCAACGAACCACTGCATCTTTGCCTACACACTGACCCCTACCGGTCATTCGGTGTACTACAGGCTTCTCAGACATTATTGCATTTCATGTACAAACCAACGAACCACCGCATTTTTCACCTACACACTGACCCCTATTGGTCATTCGGTGTACTACAGGCTTCTTAGGCGTTGTTTGCATTTTCATGTACAAACCAATAAACCACTGCATTTACACTTACACACTGACCCCTACTGGTCTTTCGGTGGACTACAGGCTTCTTAGACATTATCGCATTTCATGTACAAATCAACGAACCACTGCATTTGCGCCTACACACTGACCCCTACCGGTCATTCTGTGTACTACAGGCTTCTCCGACATTATTGCATTTCAGGTACAAACCAACAAACCACTTAATTTTTCACCTACACACTGACCCCTATCAGTCATTCGGTGTACTACAGGCTTCTTAGACATTATTGCTTTTCATGTACAAAACAATAAACCACTGCATTTTCACCTACACACTGACACCTACCAGTCATTCTGTGTACTACAGGCTTCTCAGACATTATTGCATTTTATGTACAAACCAACAAACCACTGCATTTTTCACCTACATACTGACCCCTATCAGTCATTCGGTGTACTACAGGCTTCTTAGACATTATTGCATTTTATGTACAAACCAACGAACCACGGCATTTTCGCCTACATGCTGACCCCTACCGGTTAATCGGTATACTACAGACTTCTCAGACTTTATTTCACTTCATAAGCAAACAAACTAACTACAGCATTTTCGCTTTTATACTGACTCCTATCTGTCATACGGTAGGATTAACCCCTTAGGGACACATGACACGTGTGTCATGTCATGATTCCCTTTTATTCCAGAAGTTTGGTCCTAAGGGGTTAAAGGGTATTTTTACCATACAATCAGCATTTATGACCCCTACTGGTCAACAGCAAAACTGTCTTCACATGTCATATACAATTTACCAGCCAATATAAATTACACATAAGATTGTTTTAACCCCTTAAGGACACAAGACATGTGTGACGTGTCATGATTCCCTTTTATTCCAGAAGTTTGGTCCTTACGGGGTTAAACATAACCATAAACCAATGAAACTCCAGCACGGGCTCAAATTCAGGTTTAATTCACAATAATTTACATTTCACATCAAGACCAACAGTGGTTCTATCAACACTGCCACCTACAGGTCTGTCAAGTACATTAACAATTTTCATGGGGTTTTACAAACACCAAAACACTTACACCTATAGGTCAACAGACAAACAACATTTCACATACCAATCAGTATCCAACTACACTGCATTTTGCAACACCATGTTCACTGACCCCTACCATTCAATAAGACATACAACAATTCACATAGCAAGCACTATATCAACATCAGGTATAAATACATATATTATTACACAGTAGCAGACGCGTCTGTATATACGTAACTGGTAATATAGTTCACATACATTTTTCACAGCACGCTGCTCACGCAACAGACTTTCCCCTAGCAACGGGACATACAACATACAAGGTGGGGACAGACCACATTTTCACTTGTACATACGGCACTTAATGGGTTAAGATTGATACATATTTAACCAGTATGGCTACGATGTTTAATATTTACACATCATGGCACTTTACTTTTCACATATACTGTACGTATTAAGATAAGCTTGGTCTATGCCATATTTCCTTATGCCATACGGTTTTATCCATTCAGGTTACAGTTACTACTAAAAAACCTATACGGATTGTCAGGTTCAATACCATACTACCAGGTACATACACCTGCTCACGTAGTTATCCATCTCTTACCTTCCCTGGAATAGTAATAGTGTACTGGCAATTAGGGTTCTAGGGCCCAATAGGTATTACCCCCTTTTTTCTCTGCATTATGCTTCGGTTAGTGGTCCCGCGAGGCCAACACCCCGCCTCACACTCGGAGGCATACACCCCTCGGGCCACTCGTGAGCTAGCCGCCTCGCATTGTATCATAGAGAGGGCCTCACCTGTCACTCCCCTTCCTATTTTCTGGTTACTGTCACCGAGAGGCCAACATCCTGCCACAATGTTCGGTGGCCACACAAAATCCCCTCGCGCCAAGCATAGATAGAGCCTCTCAAGCCACTTGGCAACTAGCAGGGCCTCACCAGTCACCAAAAAACCACCAAGCCTAATCGTTTCGCCTTACAGCTTAGCTAGCAAGCCAGTACAAGAACCCTGGGTACAAATAATTGCATCTTTATTGTTATTTAAGTATTTCTCCAAAAGATGGTGAAGAATCACCTCTTCCTAGCACCCCGGCTAGAATTGATACACCTTCAAGCAGAGGAGATGTTGCTAGTCCTGCAGCAATCAGATCCTGGACGATCCCACACATTACCACCGACCTAAGGAGGTGACAAATCCCCTACCCTGCTACAGCAAGGAAAGCAGAGTTATTCAAACTCCTCCATACATCAACGGACAACACGGAGGCAGGGGAAGGCCCAGCTACATCAACTCAGGTGACACCCAGGCTATGCTAGCTTCACTCATAAACTCATGAGCCAAAAATTTTTATGACAGACTGGCAATCTCGAGTTGGTCACCACAGCCCCCACAAGGCTGGGCCTCACGTTACTGTACAACCAGCACCAACCGAAACTCGGTTACCTGGTACAATCAATTCTTATGACACATAAGATGTTAACCCTGCACGTATGATCCCAGCACATTGGGGAAGCAAGGCATATATATGTATGATGATGTATCTGTGATGGTCAGATTCAGGGATTCCAGGTAAATCGGGAACTGACCATCTCTTGGATGGGTTGGTATTTGGAATATGTAGAGATGTTTATTTGTGCAGGTACCCATACAGAAGGGGTTCTGTCCCAAACAAACGGATGAGCACTCAGGCTCCAGGTACCAGCACCTCTGAACTACCAGAGACGATTGATATGAGTAGTTGCATTGCATATAGACTGTTGCATATATGTTCAAATGGTTCAGGGCACATGACAAACCATGTGGCCCAATACAACTTACAAATAACGTACTCACCATCTGTACACACCAATGTATTTTCAACACTACTGACTCATCACCCTTCCAGACTTGTAATAGATTTACTAAAGCTCTGGAGCTTCAAAGGGCTCCCATACAGG